AACTAGCTCTTGTAGACCAGGCTGGTCTAGAACTCACAGAGATCCGCCTGCCTCTGCCTCCCAAGTGCTGGGATTAAAGGCGTGCGCCACCACCGCCCGGCTATATATATTACCTAAGTAAACCAATTCCCATTTTGATTATAGCAACTTCTTACAACTAACAGGACAGTGTATTGTTTCTTCCGGGAATTGCTGCTTTAAATGTGTGCTAAGGTCAAGTCTGGGCTGTGAAACAAAAGTTCTTTCATGTACTCACGATGACTAATGGCTTAGAGAAGGCAGAACTGAAGGCTAAAGATTAACAGCACATCGGCCTGACAAAAGAGATGGAGCCCAGAGCCTGTGCACAGGAGCCGGGCTGCTCCAGTCTAGACTGGTCGGGATCCGTCATTATGTTCCTAAATAAGTTGTTGAAGCGAATTACTAAGTAATATTCATAACATGAGTCTACTCTCATTTTCAATTTTTTTTTGTTTGTTTTTCAAGACAGGGTTTCTCTGTGGCTTTGGAGCCTGTCCTGGAACTAGCTCTTGTAGACCAGGCTAGTCTCGAACTCACAGAGATCCGCCTGCCTCTGCCTCCCGAGTTACTCTCATTTTCAAATGTGTATATTTAATCCAATGCTATAGCTTTGTGTCTACTTTGATATCTTAAATTTCCAAGCTCCAAAATAGAGATTTAAGGGCCTCAGTCCCCCACCCAGGTTATATCATTTGGTTTTTATTGTTCTCAGTTCCCCCACTCAAAAGTCCGGGGAATTTATTTTGAATCATTCCCTATGACTGTAATGTAAAAGGTTCTTTGTAAATATACTGCTGTTGACCAGGCATGGTGGCACCCATCTTTAATCCCAGTACTCTGGAGGCAGAGGAAGGCAAGAGGAGCTCTGTGAGTTCAAGGGCAGCCTGGTCCACATACCAGGCAGGCTAGCGGGGCTACAGAGTGAGACTCTCTCTCAAACAATAGCAAGAACTAGGATATTCCTTCCTTAGAGCCCCCACTGTCAGTTCCTTCTCATGTTCTCCTAATGAATGTGTATCCACACACACAAAACCAAAACCAGACAGGCAGACTGGGAAGATATCTCACTGGAGAGGCACTTGACATGCAAAGGTGTGGGTGAAGTTTCAACCTGTGCAACCCATATAAACCGTGCACAGGCTTGCCGGCCTCCTGTAATCCCAGCACTTGGGAGGCAGAGGGTAAACTTTCTAGGTAGAGCAGCTGGGATTTGCTGGAGAGACCAGGTTCAACTGGAGACCCTGCCTTAACAGAGAGTGACTGAGGAGGGTACGAGATGTAAGGCGGCCCTTCACGGCCAGACAGTGCTTCCACACAAATGTAAACATGAAAAGAAAGAAAGAGAAGAACCCAGCAGTGGTGGCGCACGCCTTTAAATCCCAGGATTTGGGAGGCAGAGCCAGACAGATCTCTGTGAGTTTGAGGCCAGCCTCATCTAAAGATCGAGTTCCAGGACAACCAAAACCGAGAGAGAGAGAGAGAGAGAGAGAGAGAGAGAGAGAGAGAGAGAGAGACAGAAAGAAAGAGAGAGACGAGAGAGAGACAGAGAGAGAAATTACTGAAAGTGAAAGTGTCCAGCCAAGACTGGAGGTAATACAGCACTTGGCCAAGCACAAGAAACCTTGGGTTTGGTCCTGAATATTTGAGGGAGGGGAGGATGAATAACGTGAGGTTTATCTGTGTTGTTGCTTGTAAGGAAACTCACCTGGTCACTTGTGTAACATTAAATTTGAGAAACACCACATCCTTGGCTATGACTGCAGGGTCTTTCTTCCCTTCCCTCACAGGGAAAAACTCTCCCCTTCTGGGAACCCCCAGCCCTGTCACATTTCTCTAAGCAAGAACCACATCCCCCGTGTCCCATCCCCCATCTCCAGCCACTTCCTCCTCCTAGTCCTCCGCCAGGGCGTGGTCCCCCTGGCAGTGCCACCACTTGTGACTGGGTACAAAAGGAATGCTCTTCCTCAGGTTCTGGCTTGCATGGTGTCACCTGCCAGAGCTACTCCAGCCTCTGTTCTTTGCTGTCGGTGGGATGGCAGAAGGAAGCGGCCAGACAGCGGACTATCCTGATATTGGACCTCTCTCTGCTTCCCAGGCCTTCCAGCTACCAAAACTTCCCTCTTGGCTCCCCAGCTTTTTCTTCCCCCCAAACCGGATGTGAAGTTTATAATTGAATACAATTTGGTGTGGTATAGGACCCAGTGCACCGCCACACCCACCATTTCTCAGGGGGTGATTGGGAATATTTATTTATATTTATGACTTCTAGCCATCAGGAATGAGCCACCTCTCAGCTGCCATTATCTTCAAATTCATCAGCATTAAATGCGGTGAAGCCTCGCTTCTTTGAGATGTGGATCATCTTGTGGCCGGGGACCCTGAACTTGGCAGGGTCTCAGTCACATGTTCCTTATTCTGCAGCTTGGTGAGGATGGACATGATGACTTGGCCAATACAAACCCTGGCCACTGTGCCCAGGGGCTTCCCAAAGGCTGTCCACTCTGAAGGCCAGGCTGGAGCCTGTCAGCCCCACACAGGACATCTTGCTGATGCAGAAAGAGAAAAGGGAACGTCCGCATTGGAATGTGAAAGCCATTTTCCCACAACTCTTCACGATGTATTTGTTGGCACAAACACAGGTGGGTGGACTCAGGGGCTTTGAAGGAGAGTTGCTTACAAGCACCTGACACCATGTGGTCATATCATAGGAACTCATCAGCTTTTACCTTCTTCAGTTCCAAGTCAGAGGTTCACATCTTGGCATGGGGAAGGCCTCGGCAGAAGCGAGATGTGGATCCTGCTTGTTCTTGTGGTGTTTGTAAACCAGATCACTCAAGACTTTGGAGCACGTGAAAGCCACCACGTGAAAGCCACCCTGTGAAGAGAACCCGGGGCCCGCCCTCTGCAGAGACAATACCCCTGCAGCTCTACTCCGCCCTTTTTTTTTTTTTTTTTCCGAGACAGGGTTTCTCTGTGGCTTTGGAGCCTGTCCTGGAACTAGCTCTGTAGACCAGGCTGGTCTCGAACTCACAGAGATCCGCCTGCCTCTGCCTCCCGAGTGCTGGGATTAAAGGCATGCACCACCATCGCCCGGTTTACTCCGCCCCTTTAAACAGCTCAGAACGCAAACAAAATTTAGGAATCCCTTAGAGGCACACACCTGTTATCCCAGCACTCAAAACTGAGGCAGGAGGATTGTGAGTACCAGGCCAGCATGGGCTACACCCTGTCTCACAACGAACAAAAACCCACAAGACTATACACAAGCAAGTTTGTGGCGAGCCAAGGACAACCTCAGCTGTCATCCTCAGGAAGTGGTCTGTCCCCGTGAGAGGCTCTCTGCTGGCCGGGAGCTCATCAATGAACTCTGGGCATGGGGGCAGGGTGACTAAAAGCCAGCCCCTGGTGCCCTGCATCTACAAGTGGGTTCTGTGGCATTACACTCAGCAAGGTAAGCTCGTTGCCAATGGCGGCGCCAACTCCTGAGCACCGACTCCTGAGCCCCAAGCTTTCTCTTTGTTTCTTGGTTTTGCGATGACATGGTGGTAGTGGTGTCTCCTGCAGCCCAGAAGGGCCCCCAAAGTTATATCCAGAAGATGATGACCTTAAACTCCTGATCCTCCTACCTCTATTTCCCTGGCTTACTCCACTCTGCTTTGCCCTCTGTACAACTGTTCCTATTGCAGAGGTTCTCAACCTTCCTAATGCCATCCATGACCCTTTAATACAGTTCCTCATGGTGCGGTGACCCCGCAATCATAAAATTATTTTCGTTGCTACTTCGTAACCGTAATTTGGCTACTGTTATGAATCGTAATGTAAATATCTGTGTTTTCCAATAACCTTAGGCAACCACTGTGAAAAGATTGTTTGACCCCCCGCAAGGGGTCACGCAACCAACCCTCAGGTTGAGAATCGCTGTTCTATTACAAAAAGAGATGCGACAGGGGAGGGGGAGAAGGGTGGGAGGAGGGGGAGAAGGGTGGGAGGAGGGGGAAGGAAATGGGAGGCTGGGAGGAGGTGGAAACTTGTTTTTTTTTTTTCTCCTTTTCTCAATAAAAAAAAAATGGAAAAAAAAAGAGATGCGACAATAGGGAGTTTTTGGTTCTCTTTTGTTCTTTTCCTAAATGAAGTATTTTTCCCATTTTTACTCACTTGTATTTATATTTTTATAAATATTATTATGTATTTATAAAAGTAAAATGTTCTTTTGGAAGCAATGAGAAACTTCCATGGGGAAGGGCTGTGGGTTCAGCCCGAGTCTTGAAATAGAGAATTGGTTGTCCTCTAAAAAGTCAATGTATGAGGTCACAGCATCGTCATCACAGGGCTCGCGGAGCACAGAGGAGTCTTTTATAAGCGACGTGGAGTTCAAGGGCAGGAAAGAAAGTTGGTTTTCGGCTCTTGGCAGGAGGTGGTGGGAAGCACCATAGAAATCTCCCCTCCCACCAGACAAAGGGTCCCTAACTCTGTTATCTGTAAACAGAAGCCTCCGTCTCCCTTCTTCTACTCCCTGACTCCAGGATCTTATTAAATTGTTCAAACTACCCTCAGACTTCTGAGCCCACCAACAATGCCTTCACCCTGGGGCCCCTGGGTCTATGTACCACCCAGACTCAGAGGGACAACCCCTACGAGCCCTAACTCCCCCACCCTCCTCCTTTGTGTGTGTTTGTATGTGTGGTATATGACAGTGTGTGGGTGGGCTTGCTCCTGCGGGGCCTGTGGAGGCCAGCAGCTGACATTTGATGTTTGAATGTCTACCGCAGTGGCTCACCACTCCATTCGCCCACCCCCACCCCTCCCACCCTCCCATCTCCCTCCCCTGCACAGGGTTTCTCTGTGTAGCTTTGGAACTTGTCCTGGAACTAGCTCTTGTAGACCAGGCTGGCCCCAAACTCACAGAGATCAGCCTGCCTCTGCCTTGTACTTTTTTCTCTCGCTTTTTTTGAAAAATAAATTTATTTACTTTTACTTAGGTGTGTGTGTGTGCCACATGTATACCTGTGCCTTTGAAGGCTAGAAGAGTGTGTTGGATCCCCTAGAGCTGGACTTACAGGAATTCTGAACTGCCTGATATGGAGGCTAGAACGGAACCCCCGTCCTCTGGAAGAGCAGTAAGTACTCTTACACGCTGAGCCTTCTCTCCAGCCCCATCATCATCACCTTGCTTTTTTAAGACAGGATCTCTCACTGAACCTGGAGTTCACTGATTCCTCTAGGTCTGTTGACCAGTGAGTCCCACCTTCCAGCACCGGGGAAACGAGCATTGTTGCCACCCCTGGTTTTACACAGGGGCTGGGGATCTGAACTCAGATCCTTAGGGTTGCACGGTAAGCGCTTTACCCACAAGCTGTCTTTGGAAGAGCAGTCAGGGGTCTTCACCTCTGAGCCATCTCCAACCCTTAGGGGATGTATGGAAGAAAACTTTCCATGATTATACTACTGTAATAATCTCTGTATGTACACTCTTCCAACACATGCACACACACACACACACACACACACACAACACACACACACACTTAAGCCTGAGCATTGGATGTTTTGTTTTGAATTTTACCCAGAAAGAAAAATTGGGCCTGGCCAGACGGCTCAGCAGGTGACTGCACTAGCCTAGCAAGCCCATTGACTTGAGTTTCACACCCAGAACACTCGTGGAGGAAAGAGAGCACCGACTCCTGTAAACTGTTTCCTCCCTCTCTCCCTCTCTCTGTCTCTCTCTCTTTCACAGACATACACACACAAAATAAAGAAATAATTTTCTATTTATAAAAAGAAGAAAGTACACAGGAGGCCTGGTCTGTAGAGCTAGTTCCGGAACAGCCAGGGCTACATAGAGAAACCCTGTCTCTCTGCATGACATATCTGTCTGTCTCTAATCAGCTGCGGTCTCCCACCTGCCAAGGGGACCCTCTGAGGCCTCTGGGGACCCCACTGAGGCTTTGGGTGACCCACTGCTGCCCTTCCGAGGCCGCAGGTGGCCTGCTGCTGCCCCTCGTGAGACTGTTGCCCTCAGGGGGCCGGTCCCCCACCGCCACGTGTTTATAAACAATAACATTGGTGCCTGACTCGGCCAGGCTCTCTCCACACGCTCCCTCCTGCTGAGGGGCAGGCTGGCTGAGGACTTGGAAGGACCTTGGACTCGGACCACTTGCCAACATCCTGTGCCTGCTCCATCACTACAAATGGGAAGGTTCCCTTCTCCAAGTCAGCTTTCGCTCACATTCACCTCTGGGTGCTTCCCATAGCTCAAAATGTGAGCGGACCACTTGGAAGTGGTCCTGTCACCGACTTTTTGTTTTTGACCACTTGGAAATGGTCCTCTTGCTGCCAACTCTGCTGTTCAGGTCACTAGGAGAAGTCCCCCCCCGCCCCCCCCAATTCCTGAGCCAACAAGGTCTTGAAATTGGCCAGCCTAATTTTCAACCCTCGTACTATTCCAGAAATGTCCAGTTAGTTGCCTTGAGTTTTGGTCATTGTGGAACAAACCCTCAAAAACTATCCATCCAACCTCCCCTGGTATGTCTTTTACAGACTCGAAACCCTCTGCCTTGCCGGGCGATGGTGGCGCACGCCTTTAATCCCAGCACTCGGGAGGCAGAGGCAGGCGGATCTCTGTGAGTTCGAGACCAGCCTGGTCTACAGAGCTAGTTCCAGGACAGGTCCAAAGCCACAGCGAAACCCTGTCTCGAAAAACCAAAAAAATAAAATAAAATAAAATAAAATAAACCCTCTGCCTTACTTACAGATTTGTAACCTTCCCCGCCTTTGCACTAACAAATGGCCTACGTACCCTTGGATAACAGCCCCTAAAGTGTGAGCTTTCTAATTTCCACCAGCAAACAGAACTCTGGTGTCCCGCCGGCCCTGCTTTTCCTTTCCCTGGGCAGCCCCATCCCCACCTGCCTCTAAGCGCTCTTTTTCTTGCTCATATTCCTTCTCTCTCCCCTACTCCTTCTGTTCTATCCCTGCCGCCGCTGCCGCTGGTCCCACAGAAGCCGGCAAGATTAGTCGGATCCACGAGGCAGCTGTTTCCGGTTCCAGCCCTTGCTCCCCGCCGTGGCTGGTGGTGTGGCGGCTCTGTGACACGGTGGCTCACAGTGCTAACTTTCCTCTCTCCTTGATGTATTAAAGAATATGTGAATGGTGTGGCCTCGCGGATGTAATTCTGTTTTAAATGTATGTTCTAAACGACCTCTATGTCTCTCTTGTTATTTATGTCTGTTTAAAATTCCCGCGGCTCTAAAAAAATGTGGTTTCTCCATACAACATGTGACCACTGCCATTTTGACTAATGTCAGGTGACCTCGCCACCATCTTGACTAAAGGCAGGTTAGGTGACCAATTCCCACCATCTTTACTGAGGTATTCTTTGCCTAGTCTCTAGGTTTACTTATGGTTTTTTTTGTCTTTAAATTCCTCTTACTGACTCTGTTACATGTGTGTTTTACACAGTGGCATGCTTTTGGTAAGGCCCACTAAAAGCACCCACTTCACCCAACTCCCATTTAATGTGTGTGTGCATACATGTGACTTAAGATAACTATGTATAAACATAAGTTGGCTTTAACTCTGTGTGTAGATGTGTATAAAACTTGGGTTTAACTGGGTATAAATGTACGTATATTTGCTGTTAAATGTTATAATTGTCTGTTCATTGTATCTTATTCCAGACTAAGAAAGCAATAAGTATCATATTTTAAATTGGTATGTACTTTTAAGTCTCTTACAAAAATACTGTATATATACTTCAACCCTGCTTTAAAATCTACTAAGCCGTTCTCCACTATTGTCAGTTCTTCTATTGCAAACAGTTTTTTCTTCCTTGTCTTTTACAAGAATAAATCTTACCTGTTAAGAGCCAGTATAGTCAAGCTTGGACCCAGATCTCCAGGCAGATCCTAGGCTGCAGACATAACTCACCTATACTCAATAAACAGCCCTCAACTGCTCAGAGATCTGGGGACTATGGCATTTAAAAGTTTATTAAAAGACTTTTCATAATGGAGAGACAGTTTGGCTCCTAGCAGCAGCACATTATTTCCTCCAAAGGAGACAGATGACAAATGGGCACAGAACAATGTCCATCTGCAATTCGCTTCATCGGGTGAAAGCGCTAACCACTGGGAAAAACTGCCTTTCATATAAACCGAAGATCTCCACACAGTGGACAGAATCACTGGAATTAACAGCCTAGATGCTCAGGTCAAGGTAGGCTTGTCTTCCTACAGATTTTCTAACATAGGATCTTCTGGAGTCTGGCAGGCCCTGCTTCTAACAATAAAAGCCAAATATGACCCTCAGCAACCATGGAGAACCCTGAGGATAAGCTCTAGGTAGACAATTGAGTAAGTTCTCTGTCGTTTTTAAATTAATAACTCAAGTAAAATTTTATCCTTCTCAAAGATCTCTGGTGCAGTTTGACAGCTGAGAGGTTTTGTCAGTTTAAAAGGACAGCCTCACCAAACAAATTTCATAATCTTAAGATATATAAGTGCAAGTATTAAAATGTGTACCTGCACGTCATAAAGGTGTGAGGACAAATACAAGCTATCAAATTTCTCTCTCACATGGCCTTTCCTAGTCTTAAAGATACTGTGCAAAAACATCTGTCACAGTCATTCTGACATAAATATGCTGCTGTTTATACAATATATATGTCTAAAACTTATGTTTTTACAAGCTCAAACAGTTCTTGTGAGTTCCAGGGAGCCGAATTGAAGGATTCACCTTAAATAGGTCAGATACACCCCTCTTAATTCCCTGGTCCTGAAATTTTTTTTCTTCCTACACTTAAATTCGTCCTCTGTCCTACCAACACCTTGCTAGGTCAAAGAGACATGAGACAGTTCCACACCACGAATCATGGATAGGAGTCAAGCCACCAGCTACCAGGATGTGACCAACACCCAGCTATCTTAGGCCCCTCCAAGAAAGACTTCAGCACCCACAAATAAGCAGAAAGCAGTTTTGAGAATCCACCGTCCCAATTCCTTCAACCTGCTATGCCTAACTCCCCACCTTTTTATTGTAAGAAAAAGATGGGAATGTAATTTGCTGGCCTAGTCTGTCACCTGGGTACCCTTCCCTTTAAGAGACAAGCCCTGCCCACTACTAACCCCCCCCCCCCCCTTCTGCCATTGCACCTCCTCTCTGTCTTCTGGAGAGACAGCTTTTGTCTCTCTCTCTTTTTTTCTGCCTCTCTTTTCTCCCCCTTCTTCCCCTATTCCCCTTCCTTTCCCTCTCTATAACCCACTAAATAAACCCTATATCCAAACTCTCTCTGCATGGTGTATCTATCTGACTGTTTCCTGCCAAGGCTTCAGGCCACCTGCCAGGGGACCCACTGAAGCTTCCGGTGACCCGCTGCCCCTCGTGGGACTGGTCCACCACCATATCTTTATAAATGATAACATTAAGCTTCTTGGCTTTTTTTTTTTGTTTTGTTTTTCGAGACAGGGTTTCTCTGTGGCTTTGGAGCCTGTCCTGGAACTAGCTCTGTAGACCAGGCTGGTCTCGAACTCACAGAGATCCACCTGCCTCTGCCTCCAGAGTGCTGGGATTAAAGGCATGTGCCACCATCGCCCAGCTTCCCTTGGCTTATTTTTTTAATTTTTGTTTTGTTAGCAACCTCATTGTGTCTGAATTCAGAACTTGCAAGAGAGTAGTAACACAAATTTAACAAAATGGAAATTCTTTCCCAGTGACTTGCTGTTCAGGCATTAGTCACCAGCTGTCTCATCCCCGTGACGAGGCAAAATGATCCTAATGGATGCCTGTGGTTTAGCCTGGATGGATCTCGGGAGCTCTTTGTACAGAGATGAACGTAGGGAGCTTGTTTGGTCCTTCCCCATCCTCAGCAGCTTCCTCCTCCTCTTTTGTTTGCCTTGGTTGTCTCTCCGCCTCCCCCTCCCTCCCACCGTGTGTGTGTGTGTGTGTGTGTGTGTGTGTTTCTGTACAAATCTCTCACTGAACTTGGAGCTTATGAATCAGCCACACTGGCTGGCCCCGAGCCCCAGGGCTTAGTGTCTGAGTCCAGTGCTGGGATTACTAGTGTGTGTCTGGCTGAGGACTGAACTCTGCTTCCCCTATTACTGAAGCAATTGCACCCCCCCCCACACACACACTTTTCCCCCAGAATGGTCTCAAGAGCCCAGGCTAGCCTTGAACTCCTGATCCTCTTGCCTTTACCTCCCAGGTGCAGAGGCACAGGTATATCAACTACTCCACTTCTTCTGACTTTACCTTCCCGAGATCTGGCCATGTGCCTTGCACACCAGCGTCCTCGTTCCTTGGACACACTAAGGCTATGTGTACCTTGAGGTCTTGGTACTGTTCTTTCTGTCCAGAATGTTCCTCCCTGGATCTTTTCCTAGGCAGGTTTAGCCTGAACTCCCCTCTTTACCCAGATGTTTCCTGGCCATTGCTTCTGCATTTGCCCTCCTTCCCCAGCGGTCACCATCACAGCTTCTCTGTCCACTAAAGTCCCGTTCTTATTTCCCATTTATTCATTTTTGATAGATACCATGAAAGGGAAACTCCACCTGTCATTTCCATTCTGCCATATGGATGCTAAAGAAATGCTTAGTTAGCTGGGCGGTGTTGTGCACACCTTTCATCCCAGCACTCGGGAGGCAAAGGCAGGCGGATCTCCGTGAGGTCAAGGCCAGCCTGGTCTACAAAGAGAGTTCCAAGACAGCCAGTGCTATGCAGAGAAACCCTATCACCAGAAAACAAACAAACAACAAAGCTTATTGGATGAATGAATGGATAAAGTTAGGGAGCTCGCTGCGAGTGAAATGTAGCTAGAAAGGCGGCTAAGGGCCACATTAGGATGGTGTTTAGTTGCTAACCATGGAGCTTGGATGGTCTCTGAAGAATGGGGTGTTGCCAACAGTTACCCAGGATCCAAGAGGCATGGTCGGCACTTGGCAACTATGTAAATCGTGGTACGTTGAGAAAAGTTGGAGGCCTTAAGACAGTGCCTGGCAGAAAAGTCTTCAGTGGTGATGGCAAGTCTGAGGGACACCACAACAGCATGACACAGTCAGGCTATTCTAGACTTTCCTGCCTTTCCCTTTCTGTGCTTATTCTCAGAGCTTTTGTGTCCAGGTTCTTTCTGTTTGTTTTTTGAGACAGGGTTTCTCTGTATAACCTGAGAACTAGCCTTGAACTCACCGAGATCCGCCTGCTGCTGCCTCCCGAATGCTGTGATTAAAGGCGTGCGCCACCACCACCTGGCTTTAAAATTGTTTTTTTGTTGTTGTTGGTGTTGGTCTCAAACTCTGTGTAGTCCAAGATGACCTTAATTCCTAATTTCACTGCTTCTGCTTCCCAAGTGATGAGATTTTGCACTATTTGGTTGAGACAGGTCTCTTACAGCCTGACTAGCCTCAAACTTGTGGCAACCCTCCTGCCTCAGTCCCCTGAATGCTGGGATTACAGTATGACTCATCACACCAGGTTCTACTCACCCCTTCTGCCAATGGTGAGGCTGGAAATCCAAGCTCGCCTATGCTATGTACATTAATCTTTTTTTTTTTTTTAAAGCAGACTGGATGTGAGATTTATTACCGAACATGATTTGGTAGGGCACAGGAGAGCACCGTGAAAGCCCTCAGGAGTGTAGGGCTCGCCACTTGTCCCGGGGACCATGATTAGGGGATATAGTTGACCTCATGGCCATCAGGAATGAGTTGCTTCTCAGCATCCATGTCTTCAAATTCATCTGCATTAAACTTAGTAAAAGCCCCCATTTCTTTGAGATGTGGATCTTCTGGCAGCCAGGGAACTTGAACTTGGCTCTACGAAGAGCCTCAATCACATGTTCTTTATTCTGTAGCTTAGTGCAGATGGACATGATGACCTGGCCAATGTGAACCCTGGCCACTGTGCCCTGGGGCTTCCCAGGAGCCTACATTGGAGACAGCATTGAGATCAGAGACTTGAATAAGTGCCAGAAAATTGTCTCCAAGGTCCCTTAGGGCAACCCGTACAGGTATCAGGCTGCGTACACTACCAAGGAGGCTGCTGTTTGCAACCATTGCAACCATAGGGAAAGGGACCTGGTCAGCTTAATTA